GAATAAATACAATAAAATTGTTATTTTCAATAACATTGTACATGTTGTTGATGAAGCCACACACTGAGATAGTTTAATTTTTTTTTTTTTAATATCTGTTTTCTTTGTACTACCTTTCTCATAAAAGTAAAATAGGAACTAATGGGGGGAAATTTTTAGCTATAGCAGTATGTCTCCCAGCACCTAGCATTAAAGCTGGTACATTGTAGGTAATTAATAAATGTTAAGTATATTAACTTATTTGCCATAACTATCAGAATTAATAACTACAAAGGTGACATAGGGATATATCTGCTAAGAAGGGAGTTAATGATATGAAAATGTTATTAAATTATAATGAAAATGTTGTCAAACATATTGCCAATCAAACACTATACTATGGAGAGTATTTAGGTAGGGAGAAGAATTGGATGTGCTAATAAGTTAAGTGTTGGGATCAGATAAGGGATGAGAAGAACCAGAGGGATATTCTGGAAGAAGGTCCCAGTAAGGAAACTAGAGAAGTGGATACAGGCATCTCTGCCCTAAGCATATCCTGGAACAATCATAGAGTAGATGGAGATATGCCTGCCTCTGGCAGTCTACCTAGTGGATCGGGGGCTGTTTGGAGAAGGAACCCAAACAGGAGGTGGAAACCCATCTACTGTCTACAAATTATTGTAAAACCAAAACCAAACCAGTTGCCATCAAGTCATTTCTGACTCATGGCAACCCCACGTGTTGTAGAGTAGAACTGTACTCCACAGGGTTTTCAAAGCTGTGACTTTTCAGAAGCAGATAATTGGGCCTTTCTTCTGAGGTGCCTCTAGGTGGGTTTGTACTGCCAAACTTTTGGTTAGTAGTTGAGGGCTTAATCATTTGAGCCACCCAGGGCCTCCTTACAAATTCTGCGAAAAGGGCTAAATTAATATCAGTTACTTTTGTATTTCCCCCTACTTGGCATATTAAGTATCACATAAGTATTTGTTAACTAGCAGTGATTAGCAATATGACTTATTATTAGTAGTTTCTAGCTTCAATTATTTCAGTAGCCTAGGTATAGGTGAATGACAACTTAAGAGACTGAGGAACTAATCCAGACAAATATGTTGTTGCTGTTGAGTTGGCTCCGACTCACGTTGACCTTATGTATAACAGAACAAAACATTGCCTGGTCCTCTGCCATCTTCATGATTGTTAGTATGTTTGAGTCCATTGTTGTGGCTATTATGTCAATCCATCTCATTGAGCATTTCCCTTGTTTTGGCTGAACCTCCATTTTACTAAACATGATATCTTTTTCCAGCAATTGGTCTTTCTTAATGACATATCCAAAGTAAGCAAGCCAAAAGTTTCGCCATGCTCGCTTCTACAGAGCATTCTGGTTGTATTTCTTCTAAGACTGATTTGTTCATTCTTCTAGCAGTCCACAGTATATTCAGTATTCTTCACTAACACCACAATTCAAATGCATCAATTCTTTTTCTGTCTTCCTTTTTGACTGTCTAGCTTTCGTATGCATATGAAGTGATTGAAAAGACACAGTGGTTAAGCGTGTGGCTGCTAACCAAAAGGTCGGCAGTTCAAACCCACCAGCCATTCCACAGGAGAAAGATGTGGCAGTCCGCTTCTGTAAAGATTTACAGCCTCGGAAACCCTTTGGGGCAGTTCTACTCTGTCCTATAGGGTTGGTATGAGTCGGAATCAATTTTTTTGGTTTGGGTCAGACACACCTTAGTCATTAAAGTGACATCTTTGTTTTTTTAAAACTTTAAAGAGGTGTATTGCAGCAGATTTGCCCAATGCAATATATCTTTGATTTCTTAATTGCTGCTTCCATTGCATGTTACAATTACCTTATTATGTTTCAGGTTTTTTGGGAATGTCTTAATGTGGTCTTGATGGAGTTTTCATTGAAAAGGCTTTAGTGTCTTTAGTCTTCTGACACTTGGATATTACCTATCTAAATATCAACTTGATAGGGCCCAGGCAATTATACTAAATGATGCTTATTGAATGATTATCAACTACTTGTGGGTAGTTCAATCCACGATTTACCCTTGCTCACTAACTGAGATGTCCAAGTCAAGGGTACCTCCGGCCAACTATCTATCTTCTCTACTGCTCTCATCCTCATACTGTTTTAATGCCCCCACCCCCCACCCCGCACCCTTTATTACCTCTATGGCCGTGCTGAACTTTTTTCAGTTCTCAGAATATTCTATATTATTTCTTCTGTTTCTTTTTGGCATTGGTTGTTCCCTTTGCTGAGAACACCCCTAGTCATGCTATGTTAATTCTTTAACATAATTCTATGTTAAACTTCAGGTCCCAGGTCGCAACTAAAAACCTAAAGCACTCAGCTCATGTTAATTTCCCCTCCTATGTGCTTTCCTCCACACTTTCTAACACAATACTGATTATCTTTTACGTGTGTGTACATTATTCATATGAATGTATATATACACACACATATATGTATACACACGTATACATAATATATACATTTATATGTACACACATATGTATATATTAAATACATAAATATATAAAGATATATATGTGTGTATATATATGTATATGTATATATGTGTATATATATCTCTCTATAAGAGAGACTGTATCTCTCTTGCCCAGTCACAGCTCCCTCGTACACAGTAGTATTCAGTAAGAATTTGTTGAATGAAAGAATAATAAGCTTTAAAAATATCCTAATTGCTCAAGTCCATTGATTGTGGAAGAACATTCACATGTTTTTCTGGACTGAAAAAACATAATAAAAAGTTATGTATCTTGCTGGTTTTGGCTACATTCTCATTTTGCTTATGTTTTTTCATAAAACTGGTGGTTTGAGGACCAAAACCTGTTCTGCACAGGTCTCTAGAAGAGCTATCTCAGTAAACAGTGACTATTAACAGGGAGTCACTTTTTAAATAACATTCTCTTTCATGCTCTTTTTATAAAACTCTGAAGCCATGACCTCTTTAGGATTTAGAAAGCTACGGATGACAGACTTTTTACATTTAGTAAAATATAAACCGTGACCTAAACTTACAACAGTGACAAAAAACAAAATAAAATAAAAAATAAACAAAAAGTATTATTTTGGCTCCAAGTCTGCTAGAAAAACCTTTTTTTTTCTTCTTTTATGGGTAAGAATTTAGGCATTAAAAAAAAATTATCTCTGTTTTAATCCTTTGTACATTTACCTTTCTTATGATTTTACAAAACCAAGCAGTTTAAATTTTTATTAGTAAAGTAAAAAGCAATGAATAACATGGAATGTTTTCAAATTAAAATATATTGTAAATATATGACGTTTTCCTAATTAATTCACTGTAATGGCTTCCAGTGCCCTAGGGAATAAATACCAAACTTTTTAGCCTACCTAACTGCATAAACATATACTATACAAACTGCTGTTAGGACTGAATATATTCTAAGTAGGAGCAATTTTACAAATAGACACTTCAATCAGCAAGTGGGGTTAAGGATCCTGTATTTTAATCCCTAAGAAACTATGGATTTTAAAGAAGTAATTATCTTTGACTTAAGGTTTTTACTCAACAAACAGTAGAAACCCTACAGTATTATTCCCAACCTTCTATCTTACAGGACAACAACAATTATTATAATAATAGTTTCCAATTCTTGAGAGCTTACTTATGACTGACATTGTGCTAAACACTTTACATATTTTATCTTTTGTAGTCCTCATTACAATTCTACAGGGAGCTATTTTACATATAAAGCAATTAAGTCCAAAGAGTTTCAATAGCTGGTACAGGGTCACCCAGCCAGTAAGTGGCAGTGAAGGCATCTAATCTAGGTCTGTTTGAAACCTATTAAAATAAAAGTTTGAGCACAAACAAGAAGCAGGCGTAAAACAGAATTCTTGGAGAAAAAAAAAATGACACAAATCCAAATTTTAGGCTTGATATTGAAAGTGAGCTGTGCCACACTCTAACTTCCACTGTTTAGGAGAGAAATGCCTATAACAAGTAAGCGCATTCAAATTTCATGTTGGTATTTCATGCCTGATGTTAAAAATAAATACTTTTCAAGAACAAAATAATTTTTCCTTTAAATTAAAATAACCCCAAGGTTTTAACTGATTATTTCCCATTGTATTGCTCCCTTCCTGTCACTGTTTTTGAGCTAGAACATGGAGTCCTTGGTGGAGAAAGGAAGGGCATGGTCATCAATCTCCATTAACAGTCTTGAGTGGTTTCTGTTGTCTAATAATTTCTGAGTTGGTAGACCTCTAAATATTCATGTAATTAGATGAGCTAGTCATCCACATTTGACATTTACTTAAGCTCTGAATGTACTTTTTATATTTTTATATGTGGTTTCAGAAAATACCACATGAATTGGGTAGATCTTTTAAAATCTGCTCTTTTTTCAAATAAACTTCTTCTTGAAGTTATGCCAACAAAAAGCAGAACTCTTTCTGTAGGAGTTTAGTATTTTGGAAGAAAGGAAATTACTGTTATGTTCTAAATTAATTTATGATACAGGGGTACATTAGAGTAGTGTCAAGAAAAATGACATAATAATAAAACCAAAATCTGGTTTTTCAGGTGTTCTAATTTATTGTGGAGATGAAAGGTAGAATGACATAAGTACAGGTAACCATTCTTTATTTTATCAACTGAGTCCATTTATAGTCTACACTCTACTTACATATAAGTCTTAAAATAACCCTAAATACATTTTCCTCTTCATCATTATTTTTCTCTTTTATTAGTCATCTTGTTTTTCAAAATGTAGTGCTACTGAAAACTATTTTATTTCATAGGGAGTGAGAGAGGAGATTTGTCTTACGAATATTGTAGTTTTCTCATCTGACAGGTTGAAAATTCTTGCCCCTTATCAATGAAAAAATTAACTGAGGTCTGTGAGTGTATTATCTGTGAATTCATGACCTCTCTCCATTGGGCCAGCAAAAGGAAGGATGGAAAGATCCATCACTTTTATACAGATCATCATTTCTTCCCAGTAACCATGAGTGCACTTACATTTGCAAGCATCTGGAGCTGAGAAGGGTCTCCGGAAGTCACGGTAGAAACCTGGCTTACATCGCTGGCAGTGCTGACCTTCTGTGTTGTGCTGACAGTCATTGCAGACACCACCACTACGATTCCCTGATGCCTCCCACACAGTAATGTCAAAGTGACAAGTATCAGCATGCCCATTGCATTTGCAGCCTGGAAAAAGAGAAGGAAAACAATTTAAAAATAAACGACAGGATTCACTAATACTCAGGCAGTTAACAATAGGTTAAGCTGATGGCTAATTTTAATTTTATTTTTAATTAGTCTTTTGAATAGTATATATTTTCACAGTACGGGAATTAAAACAATATAAAAAGATATGCATTAAGAACTCTAGCCTCCCTAGTCCCATTTACCCTGTTTCCCTTTGCCTTCAATAGGTTACTACTTTTTTTTTCCAGTTTCTTGTGGATCCTTCCAGAATTTGTTTATAGATTCTTAATTTAAAAAAAAAAAAAAAAAATTTAGGATATGCCTGAAATTACAGAAAGCGTAGATTTTTCTAGTTAGGCAGAGATATTATGGTTACCTTAGGAATGGGGGTTGATATTTATTTTGGAGAGACATTAGAGTGGTCAACAGTTTTTTCCCTCTTGGATAGAAACACTTCACCATTTCCATTCCTGCTACTTCCCAAGGGCACTGTCATCACTGTGGGTCACCTGATCTTGTCAGGCATTATTTGGAAGTGACAATTCACGTTGCAGATCCAGGCCCGAATTTAGATACGCAGTTGGTTTCTGTGGAAAGGGCCAGAATGGCATTCTAGGAATTTAGGAGAAATTCTTTAGATTCTCTTGATGAGTGATTTAGATTAATGATCCAGAGTTTTTCATGAAGGTCAACTGTATTTGAAATTGTTTGTGTTATTATTTTTCATTGTTTCCTTGACATGTTATGATATTTTGACCAGATTCATAATCTTTAAAAAGAAAATTATTAGATAATTTGAGATTTATGCTTAGAGGAAATCCTTTACACTTCCTAGAAGCAAAAATAAATCAGTTACAATCCCAAATTATGTATGGGAAGAGACTTCTCGCAGCTTTACCCACAATAAAAACCCAATTGCCTCAAGTTGATTCTGACTCATGGCGACCCTATGTGTGTGTCAGAGTAGAACTGTGCTCCATAGGGTTTTCAGTGACTGATTTTTCAGAAGTAGATCACCAGGCTCTCTTCTGAGGCACCTGAGGCACCTCTGAATGGACTTGAACCTCCAATAGTTAGCAGCCAAGTACATTTTCCATTTACACCACCCAAAGACTCCTTACCCACCATATTTGCCTTTAAATCATTCTAAAATTGAGGTTTGTAAGTGTAAACATTGTTATAGGCATGTGTGTTTTTTTCTGAATATTTTGAACTGCAGGAAAAAAATGGTTCATGTTCCCATATTTTTTACTATCCCATCTAATCTCCAACCTCAAACCCAAAGTTGGTCTTGGCAATGCAATCTCATTCTTGACCGAATAGTTTCAAATCTGATCTGTCATTTCAAGTGTCATAAGTGAAAAGAAAGGCATTATGGTATTATGGGAAAAGCATCTAATTTGGAGTCTGAAGATTTGGGATCAAGTCCTGACCCTATCATTTACTAACACTGGCAAGACAATTAAATTCACTAAGCCTTAGTTTCCTGATTTCTAAAATGGGATTGAAACCACCTAATTTATAGGGTTGTTTTGAGAACTGAATTCAAAATAGCTATTTCCATTATTATTATTCAATATCTGAGCTATGAGGATAATGGTATAACATAACCCTCAGTTGCTCTTGTGTCTAGTTATGTTTTTATTATACCAAGTTCTCAAGGAGGGTGCTTATATCCTACAAAAAAATCCAAACAAACAGGCAACGCATTCTTGGCAGAATAGTTATATTGGCAACCTTGCAAAAAGTTTGAAGTCATAGTGGGCGGTGATATGAGCTATGCTTGGGGAGGTTACAGTTGTCTGTCACCACTTTGTGTTTCTAGAGACAACAAGCTGTCCACAGATAAGTTTACTTGACAAAGAAGCCTTTTGAGTACTACGGGCTTATTACTTACTTCTGCACTCTTTAGGAGCCCCTGTTTTGCCATCACCTGCCTCCCAGGGGCGGTCATTGTATAATGGTGCACAGTGTTGGCAGTGGGTGCCTGCTGTGTTGTGCTTACACATACACTTCCCATGGACCTACAAACAAAAATAATTAAGAGCTATGAGCACAAATGATGCTAGGGAAGAAAGTTTTTCCTACAATCTCATATCATTGGTTAGCTTTAGCCATAAGACAATATTCATTCACTTTTCTGAAGAAGTTAGCAATCAAGATGAGTGATTCTTCCTTAATTTTTCTTATAATTAATTCAAAGGATTAAGTAACATGTTTTCTTGGCTGTAGGATATGTAACCCTAATAAGAAATTCAGAGGTACTGGCTTGTTGTTAGGTGCCATCAAGTCGGTTCCGACTCATAGTGACCCTATGCACAAAAGAAGGAAACACTGCCTTGTCCTGTGCCATCCTCACAATCGTTGTTATGCTTGAGCTCATTGTTGCAGCCACTGTGTCAATCCATCTTGTTGAGGGTCTTCCTCTCTTTCAATGACCCTCTACTTTACCAAGCATGAGGTCCTTCTCCAGGGACTGATCCCTCCCAATAATACGTCCATAGTCAGTGGGGGGACTGCCTCCATGCATGCACTGTACCCGGCACATGCCATGGCCTGCTCGAGGTACTGGCTAGGCATTTATTTAAATGTTTAATACTGTCTTAGTCATCTAGTGATGCTACAACAGAAATACCACAAGGGGATGGCTTCAACAAACAGAAGTTTATTCTTTCACAGTGTAGTAGGCTAGAAGTCCAAATTCAGGGCATCAGCTTCAGGGGAAGGCTTTCTCCGTCTGTCGGTTCTGGAGGAAGGTCCTTGTTATCAATCTTCCCTGGTGGAGGAGCTTCTTAGGGCAGGGACCCCGGGACCAAAGGACATGTTATTCTTCTGGCTCTTGTTTCTTGGTGGTATGAGGTCCTCATGGCTCTCTGCTGGCTTCTCGCTTTTATATCTCAAAAGAGATTAGTTTAAGATACAATCTAATATTGTAGATTGAGTCCTGCCTCATTAATGTAACTGCCTCTAATCCTGTCTCATCGACATCATAGAGGCAGGATTTATAACACATAGGATATCACATCAGATGACAAAATGGTGGACAATCGCACAATACTGGGAATCATGGCCTAGCCAAGTTGACACATATTTTGGGGGGGACACAATTCAATCCATGACAAATACCTTAAACTTTTTTATTCTTTACACAATAGTAATATATCTTCACTATAGAAAATTAGAAATCTGTACTCCTATCACTAATATCCTTATCGACATATGGGGCACATATTTCAGGTACTTTAAAATATATAATTGTATTTATAACTTTTTTTTAAATTAATAAGTTGAGAACACCTTTCCATTTCATGAAGTATTCTTGATAACACACATTTTAATGGCTCTCTTGTGTTGTGCACAATTTATTTGACCAATCATTATTTTCAGTTATTTAGGCTTTTTAATATTTCTATATATTAGCTTCAGTGTTATAATGAATATCCTGGTAGCTAAGTATTTGTGCATATTTTTATTTCCTTGGAATGCGTTTTCTAGAAGTAAAACTGAAGGGTCAAAATATGTACTTTGTTAATGTTTTGAATACATTTTGTCACACTGGCTAGACATTATCTTTTGACCCCACAGTTCAGAGTATTTCAGTGTTTATTAAAATACTGTTTCTAACAGGGAAGAATACTTTACTAGAATTCTTAGTGATCTGAGAGTTTTATGAGAATTTAAATATTTTTTGTATTGTTTCACTGATAATTTCCAAAATTTAATATTTTGAATCATCTGAAATATCTCCTAATAACTAAGTATTGCCATGAATTCCAGTACCAAGATGCATTTATTGCCAAATGAAGACATGACTATACAAATGGAAGTTTTGCGAAGGAGCTCAGAATGGTATTCACAATTGTATTCTTATGGATCTATGAGCTTTTGTTTTTCTTAAGAAAGTGTTAAAGGTAACTCAGCATAAAGGTAACAAATTATATCAACTAGTCAACAAATAAAGAGCCCTGGTGGTGCAGTGGTTAAGCGCTCAGCCGCTAACCCAAAGGTCTGCAGTTTGAGCCCACCAGTGGCTCCTTGGGAGAAAAGACCTGGCGATCTGCCCCTGTAAAGATTACAGCCTAGGAAACCCTATGGAGCAGTTCTGCTTGTCATATAGAGTTACTGTGAGTCAGAATTGACTTGATGGCACACAACAACAACAGTCAACAAATAGTTAATGAATATCTACATGGGAGAGTCACTCTGCTGGGCATAGTTTGGTATACAAACTGTGTTTGGTAAGTAATGCATTACAAAATGCAATTTCTGTCTTCAAGAAAGGTACGGTGTAGCTAGAGAAAAAAGACTTACATAGAAAAAAAAAATGATTAACAAGACAATAAATAAGTACCTAAGAAATGAAATGATGCTGGAATTTAAAAAACGCAGAAATCACTATAGGTTGGCGGTAGCGGTGGGCTTTATTGGAGGGTTTGGGATTTGAGCTAGCCCTTGACAGATGGGCAGCATTTCCAACAGGCAGAAGGGAAGAGACTTTCCAGGAAGAAGAAACAAAGAGAGCCAAGGTGTAGCAATAGGAGGCTAAGTAGAAACTGTGAACAAAGTTTATTTCAATGCACCTTGAATATTTTAACTGTAATGGTAAAGGAACTACTCAAAAAGACAATTACTTAGAGAGGCCAAAAACAAAATGAGTCCCTAAAGTAGAATTCAACAAACCTGGAGAGAGCCATACCAATACACTGATGTACTACTGTTTGACCTAAGATAACACTTGAATAAATTGTGTCATCTCATCCAAGAATCCCTTTCTCTTTTAATACTCTCCTAGCATATACATCTTAGGTTCCACCGGGGTAGGTGCTCTGGAATAGCATCTGCATTATCCAAGTGTGTTATATGACTGCTATGGACCTTGGGCTCACGTAATGTTCAAGTGCAGGAAGACACTAGTCTTAGAGGACTTCTGGTTGCTTGTGAATGAACCACAGAAGGCCTAAAGTTATAATATTTTATAAATAATGATTTTGGTGGCCGTCTTGCTAAATTTCATTTCTGTGTATTGTGTAACATAAGGTTCTAGTGCTTAATAAAAATTACAGTTTTTTAATTTTCAGGAATTAGTGAAGATACAGATTTTTTTTAAAAAAAGGGTGGAATTAGCTCCTTGGAGTACAAAGATATTGCAAAAATTTTTGTTAATTATCTTTATAGAAACTAAACTCATATTGTAGGTTCAATTTATTGGTTTTGGTCTTGGAATAAGGAGCCCTGGTGGCGCAGTGTTTAAAGTGATCAACTGCTAACCAAAAGGTCAGCAGTTTGACACCACCAGTGGCTCCGAGGGAGAAAGATGTGGCAGTCCGCTTCTGTAGAGATTTACAGCCTTGGAAACCCGATGGGGTCACTAGGAGCTGGAATCTACTGGACGGCAGTGGTTTTTTTTTTTTTTTTTTGTCTTGGAATGCCCAAGTGTGAACGATACTTACTATTTTCTTGGCTTTTCTTCATGATTAGTTCTGATATGAACTATTTACATGTAGAAGTCCCATGAGGTTATAAGAGTTCACTACACATCTCCATTCACACATCCAAGCAAGAGATCTGCAGAATTCAATTTCTATTGTTTTATAAGCGTGAGATCTTTCACCCTAGTTCCCGGATCCTACTGCTTTTTTTTTTTTTTATTGTAGTAAATATGTATGTAACAAAACAGTTGAGCTTACAATGATCTTCACACAGAGTTCAGTGATATCAATTATGTTCATCATGTTGTTCAACCATTACCCTGTCCATTCCCAAATGATACCATCACCCTTGAGAGAAGCATACTGCTTTTACTAAATCTTTTTTATTTAGTATTTCCTCTCATCATAAAAAAATAGAAATTCCTTCTTATCAAATAATTTCTGCATCATAAGTTTCTTTAAAGGTGGTCAGTAAAAGCTAGATGATTCTTTATTTACATGTAGTACTAGGTGTTGATTTCAAACAAAATACAGTCTTTGGAAAAATTGCGTAGGAAAAATTTTCCAAGGTCAAAGAGTTTAATATGAAGGCATACTTATGTAGCTGGCACGAGTTGGTAGCATAATCTAGATTAGTAGGAAAAGCAGTTTTGTAATTGCCTGTATTCCACAAAAACAAACAACAGGCACACAAAACACCCAGGATACAAATAATTTGATAGAATTAGAGTCAGATTCCTAGAATAAACCATCCTAATCCATCACTGCTGGTAAGGGGATTATACAGAGTACTATCTGAGGAGGTCATTACAGAAAATGTTAATGAGTCTAAAGTAAATACGGTGAAGACTATGGTCAATAGATGATACCTGTAGCAAACTTGGAGCCCTGGTGGTGCATTGGTTAAGAGTTTGACTGCTAACCAAAAGGTCGGCAGTTCAAATCCACCAGGTGCTCCTTGGAAACCCCATGTGGCAGTTCTACTCTGTCCTATAGGATCATTATGAGTCAGAATCAACTCAAGGGCAAGGGGTTTAGTTTTGGTTTTGAAGTATCAAACTTCTAAGTGTTGTCCCTGAGGCTATGTCTTGAAGGATGCATAGGACTTCCCTTAGGAGCAAAGACAAGAAGAACCCAAAAGGAATATTCGGGGAACAGTCAATAAACAAACCAGAAGTTATATGTTGGAGAGGTAGGTTAGATCCAGATCATGGAACACATTAAACTAAACATCAGTTTTGGAATTTATCCTGTAGGCAATGTAGATCCATTGAAGATTTTTGAGTAAGGGAATGATTGAATGGTATACTAAATATACTTTCTTTTCATCCCTTTTTTAAAATTTCTTTCTGCCTCCCTCCTATCTTTCTTCTCCTCTCCCTTTTACCATTCTTTTCTGTTTTTTTTTTTTTATCCCAGTTTATGCATTCCAGCAGTCAGTGGCACCCACATGCATTTTCAAATAATCAGAATTTTAAAGGGTTGTTAACTCTCATTTACTGCTTTTTTACATTCTTTCTACTTTTTAACAGCCATTTATAGAGCACATACTGTATAAAGATAGATGCTGCAAAACACTGTTAATTTTCTTTAGA